CAGGGATCCACAGTGACCACTAGTAAAAGTGTTACCTGGCAGCATGGGCATCCCAACTCCTGGTGGGCAGGGTCCCAAGTGCACGTATATACTTTCTTCTAGCGAACTTTCCCACCTCCCCGCAGAGTGGGGTCTCCAGGGGTCTGCCCAGTGAAACCAGTAGGCTCTGGCCTGTGCCCTACCCACATGGATTGTTTCTCCTTCCTCTCCTCCTGCTAGGACGCTGTGTGTTCCTGCTCTAACACAGGTCCTGGTGGGTTTGGAGATTCTTCTCGGAAGGAGAATATTAGAGTCAGTTAGGAGGGGTGAGCTGACCAGGGTTGGCCCTGCTTCCCGGGCTGAGAGCCAAGGCAGGTGCTTGAGTTCCAAACTTCCCCACAGACCCTTGCCAGGGGGCTCAAAATACTCCTAACAAGGAGAGGGGGAGAAGTAATGCCTTGAATGTGATGCCAGTGCCCAGCAGAAACTCACATGTCCAGGGACTTGCCCTTCCACCTGTCTTCCCAGGGACACCAGCTTTGCCCAACCTTAGGCACCATCCTCAGAACCATTCCTGGGGCTGGCCTGTGGGCAGGCTGGCAGGCACCCAGCTGGCCTTCTCAGCCTGGAGGTGCCCCAGCTATGGAAGGAAGGCCCTACAGCCTTTGGGTCCTCATTCTGATGGCAGAGTGTGCCCTAATCCAATCCCTGTGGAGCCCTGGGCCCTGTATGGGGAAGGAGAACCCATAGGGTTCTGAGAGAGGAGTGTGAGCAGTACGGCATGTCAGTTTCCTGGGGGAAAGAGTGCAGGGCATGAGCCAAGTTCAGATCCCGAGTGACCTGTCATCTTTCCCCTGGCCCCAGGCAACTGGCTCTGAAGGCCCTCAACGAGCGGTTGAAGCGAGTGGAGGACCAGTCCGTCTGGCCCAGCATGGAAGACGATGAAGAGGAGGCTGAGGCCAAGGTGGATAGCCCTCTGCCGTCAGACAAGGCCCCCACGCTCCCAGGGAAGGGGCCTGTCCCAGAATCCAGCCTGATCACCTTTGAGGCAGCTCCCCCGAAGCTGTAACTCTAGACCACCTTGAGTGTAGCACCTCTTCTCCCAAGCCCCCCTTGACACACTCTCAGCTACTCCAGGGCACTGACTGCTCTGAGGAGAGGGAAGAAGGCCTGCTGGGGGTTGCCACAGACTTCTGCTATTTCTCGCCAACACTACCCAGGATTCTTGCTACCTGGTTCCAACTCCAGACAACCACTATGCCAGGCATGGGGCCTCTGAAGCACAGCCAGCCCAGGCCATCTGAGGTAAGACTGTACCTCAGCAGGCAGCCTCAGGCAAGTGGCTGCAGGGGCACTGGTGCCATGGCTCCTAAGCCAACCCTCACACCTGATACTGGTTGCCGAGAGCCCTGAGCCAAGGCAAGGATTTGCCAAAAACATTCTGGGGGTCCAGCCAGTGCAGGAGCCAGTGCAGGGCTGTACATCCCTGCCTGCCCACAAAGAGACTACATTCATGTCAAGATTTCTGATTCCCTCTGCTGTGGCCATAGCTGCTTCTGGGCCAGAACAGTCACAGCTCCCAGGTATTTTCTACAGGACCACTTGAGTGGGCAGCCAAGCCCAGCCTCGCAGTATCAATAAAGCAGTTCTTTGAGGTATGGCTCCTGGGCTCTGTTAGACCACCTTGTGCAGGCCCCTCATCATGCTCAACTGCAGAGTTAGACAGGGACTTAACTCTAGGTTCAAGGGCTTGGTCACCAAAGCTACTCCAGCTGGATAAAAAGCCCATTGCCCTCATCCCCTTCCCCCCATCACACTCCCCCTTGCCTCACCACCACATGCCCACTGTCAAGCAGTCTTCCCAGAGCTGTCACCTCAGGCTCTTACTTACTTTCTGCCTCCCTGCACTACCTGGTGAAGGAGGCCCTGCCTGGAGGACCTGATAATTAAGCGCCTCTCTATCATAAGGAGTTGTTCTTATCCATGGCTCACCTCTAAGACAGAGTGCTCAGGGCCTGACACCTAGGGAGGCAGCCCATCCCCAGCTCCCATCCTGTCATTGCCCAGATTTGACCACCACAGTCTAGAAACTCCAACATAGTGAGCAGCTGGGAGACTGAAATACACACAGCCGCACCATTCACAGCTACAGCCCTCGGGCCTCCTAGGGCCCTGGGTGGCATGGGGTGCTTAGCCAGATCCGGGGGGCTAGTGTGCCAGGAGAGCCTTAGCCCCTCAGTGAGCAGCCAGGGACGGGTCCCCATCTTGCCCAGCTGCCCATTTTTTCATGCTGATGGCATTAGCAAGAACTATCCCCAGCTTTGGACTGTTCCTCCCATCCAGTCTTTTCAGTCTTTATATATATATATATATATATATATATTTGGCCGCGCCTCACGGCACGTGGGATCAAACCCACGCCCCCTGCCTTGGAAGTGCGGAGTCTTAACCACCAGACCACCGGGAAAGTCCCTTCAGTCTCTTTTAAAATTTTATTTTACTTTTTTCTCTTATCTCATTTCTGGACATACCAGCACAAGTTGAGTTGCTGTGGGCAGGGGGCAGTCTTGAAACCCAACTTCATCCAGACACATGATCCATAAACTCCTCTGGGATGGCAGAGAAAGAAGGAAAGGAGAGGTACTCCAGCATGAGGAGCAAGTAATAGTGTCACACAAAGGACTCCGGCTACCCGTGACCGCACCAGTGCCTGAGGTGTCCCGTGACCAAGTCAACTGAGAGAGTCCAGGAGGTCTCAGCCCCGGCTACCACACTGAGGGGCAAATCCAGGCTTCCCCTGGTTCTGGGAAGAGCTCATGGCTGGATCCTCTTGCGGTACAGGTAGGCGTTGCTCACCTGGTTCATAATGACCAAGCTAGTAACGACAGGGCATAGCACAGCCAGGTACCAGACCCCACCAGTGACTGTGGCAGTGAACCAGAGTGAGTACATGCCCAACAAGAGGCTGGCACTACCCAGAAGGTAGCCCACCAACCCAGAAGTGGCATGGTACAGCTTGAGCTTGGCCAGGGGCCATCGAGGCAGCAATTTGGGGTAGAGCAGCCCCACCCCACCTGAGCACTGCAGCCCTGCCCACAGCACAGCTAGCAGCCCTGCCCGCCCATGCCACGTAGCCAGGTGGGCTTTGCCAAGCTGTTCCTTGTGAAGGATGACAAGGCCCAGGCCCAGCAGTGCACACAGCAGGGCTAGCAGCTGCAGAACCCAGTGGCAGCGTGCTCGGCCCTTCCGCGAGAGGGAGCGCAGCAGCGAACTCTCAGGAGAGAACACCAGCAGTGCCTCGGTCATCAGGAAAGAGAACTGGGGAGACAGGGATGGGACACTAAATGAGAGTGCTGCCCAGCAGAAGGGAAGAAAGCTTTAGATATAACCTAAGCTGCCAGCTAGTGTGGGCAGATTCCGCTTCATTCTCTCCCCACTAACAAGTATCTATTTGGTGGCACAAGAGTGGAGAACTCCATCTGGGACAGAACATCTGCTCTGAGTAACCAGCAAGAGGTACCTCTCCACACTGCTTCTAGGTGCTATTCTGAAATGTCATCTCTGCTGTGCTACCCAGCAAACACAAGGTTTGAGATGTGGCAGTTATAAATGATTCACAAGCTTTGTTTTTCTGACACAGGACTGGATACAATTTCTTGGCAAGAGTTGGCCACATGGGTGCACTGTTACAGGAAAATTAGGTGCATCACTATAAATTAAGGTGAAAAGGGACACAGGTATACCCAAATGCATATTCTAAGCCTCCTGCCTGGAGGTGGACGAAGCCTCATTTTGTGCTTAGACAAACCCATTTGCCCTGCATCTCGAATACTCTAGTTCAAGCGTGGGATATAAACTATAGGCAGGAGTTGGAGCATACAGTGCATCTAACCCCACATCCCATTACTCCAAACAGATATTAAGTGTTCATTAACATTTAGAGGGCGCTAAGACCACCACCCATGGCTATGCTCCCTCCCATCCCTAAGAGCTGGCCAGGCCCACTACTTACAGCCAGAGACATAAGCACAGGGTGCCAGGAGAAGAGACCTGGAATGAGAAGAGGAAGCCTCGTGAAGCTGAAGCAAGAAGAACCCAGCCACGCCAATCCCCACAGGCTGAGGAGTATGAGTAGCTCATCGCCCAAGGAGGTGCTGCCAAAATGCAAGCCCCTTCTTGCTGCAACAAACTGACCCCATACCTATCATCTCTTCCTGGACCCTCCCTGGATCAGAAGCCATGCTTTGCCACTCTTCTGGCAGTCCTCCCTCCTTCCCCCTGCACTTTGCAAGAGGCAGCTAAGTGGAGCACCAAGACAAGAGAAGCCAGGTACTCTATGGGACCTGGCCAAGCTGGCAGAGCCCCAACTCTCATCTATTCCACCCCACTTATTCCTCCAGCATAGCATGTCCCTCAGCCAACCAGGCCTTTCCCAGGAGTCAGATCCAAGGCTTACTATTGCCCCTGCTCCCCAGGAAAAGTGACACTTTCCTTCCCAAAAGTCAATTATGAATTCTACTTACTGGAGCCAGGCCTGGCAAGTACAGCCACAAAGATGGTGAAGCCCAGGGCCACAATGTGAGCAGCAGCCCCAGATGCAGTGCGCAGAGCTCGGTATATGTGCGACTCGGTCTCCACAGAAAGGGCCATGGTCAACCAGGCCGGCTGTAGCCTGAAAGCATAGCAGAGTAAGCAAGGGTCTCTGGTGCCCGCTGTCCACTCCTTTCACTGGAGCAAGGGTTGCGGGGCAGGAATGCCACTCTCTTCCAAAAAGTTAAGGTAGGAAGGGACGGTACTAAGGCAGGCACCAGGAATAGTCGAGGACTGGTGGCCTGTCAGCGTGTACCCGCATCTGAATTGGCACTGATCACTGGCCCACCTTCCAGGTAAGATAGGCAAGGCCGTGTAATAGACTACAAATCCCAGCGTGCACCACGCCGTCGCCGGGCGGGGGCGCCTGCTGGAAGGGCGTGAAGCACTACGGGAATTGTAGTTCCTAGTTGCGTCGAAATTACGGCCTGAGTCCCTTTGCGCACAGCCTCCCCACCTGCCGCTGGCATGCTTCCCCTACACGCTAGGGATTCGCCTGCCTCACCCGCAGCGCCGACCTGACGAGGTGGTTCCCTCCCGAGAAAGTGGGTTACTCGGGGCTCTGCCGCGCGCCCTGCCGCTCCGTCGCGGAGCCTCTTAACTTCCGGGTGCGACGCCTCTCCATCCGGGACTTCCTGGGACAGTCCCCCGCAGCCACACGGCTGAGTCGCGCTGCACAGGCGCTGTTGAGCAGATGGCCTCACGGGTGTTCAGTGCGCAGGCGTGCTTGCCCAGGCAGCCCAAACCTCCGGGCTGTTTCTGACAGGTGCTCCCAGGGACAGTGGCGCCAGCTACGGACCCCGGCCCCACTAGCGCCATGGGCAGTAGCTGCCGCATCGAATGCATATTCTTCAGCGAGTTCCACCCCACGCTGGGACCCAAGATCACCTATCAGGTGCCATCCGGGCTCGCGGGGCATGGGAGGCAAGGTAGAGGGACGCTCGGGGGAGTTCAGCCAGATGCCTGGAAGCGGTGGAACCCAGTGCCCCGTGCTGCACGCAGGCACGCCACCCCTTCATTCGCGGAAAATCGTGAACCAAAAGTATATTCAGACCCAGTCCCAGGCTCCCGGTGTGGCAAGGCAAACAAACATTCACATAGGCAGTGATTGTGGGAAATCGGGCTGTGGGGGCCCAGGGGAGGTGCCAGGTTCTACGAGAGGTGTGAGTGGTGATCCACTAGTATCCCTGGATGCATCGGAATTTAGGTGAGGCAGGAGTGTGCCAGGTGGAGGGTACAGCGTATGCAAAAGCCAGGAGGTAGGTGAGAACATAATGTGTGTTTGGAAACACAAAAGAGTGGGCCTGGGTGGATGGGAGAGAGGAGAAACCCTGGAGAAGAGGGATTAGGTCTTGGGGCTCACCCTGTGTATTCCACCTAGTTATAAGGTCCACTAAGGGGATTCTTGTCACTCCCTTCCACAGGTCCCCGAGGACTTCATCTCCCGGGAGCTGTTTGACACCGTCCAGGTGTATATCATCACCAAGCCAGAGCTGCAGAATAAGCTCATCACTGTGTGAGGCCCTAGCTGGGGGGTTGGGAGGGTTCCCAGGAGGAGTGGAAAGACTTGGGGGTGAGAGGAGCCTGACTCTGTTCCCATCTGTTCCCCTCGTCCAGCACAGCCATGGAGAAGAAACTGATTGGCTGCCCCGTGTGCATCGAGCACAAGAAGTACAGCCGCAATGCCCTGCTCTTCAACCTAGGCTTCGTGTGTGATGCCCAGGCCAAGACTTGTGCCCTTGAGCCCATCGTCAAAAAGCTGGCTGGCTACCTGACCACACTGGAGGTATGCAACACGATGGCCTTGGGTGGATGGGCTTGGGTGGATGGGCAGGCAGAGTTAGGGAAGGTGTTCGCATGTCTCCAAAGCCCTCCAGACCCGGGAACCTTCCAGAGTAGGATGCCAGCCAAGGGTCCTGGGGTGTGCCCACCATGCTGTCCATGCTCCATCCAGCTAGAGAGCAGCTTCGTGTCCACGGAGGAGAGCAAACAGAAGTTGGTGCCCATCATGACCATCTTGCTGGAGGAGCTAAATGCCTCAGGCCGGTGCACTCTGCCCATCGGTATGGCCCAGCCTCTGTAAGGACAGCAGAGGGGTCAAGGAGGGATGGGAAAGTGTCAGGGGAAGGTGAACCCAGTCAAGGACAAGACTCATGAACAAATTGGTGGCCAGGAAATAGCCATGAGCTGAGCTGATGATGTCCAGGGCCCAGTGCGTGATGGGGCTGGAGAGGGGGAGGCCAGTAGAGCTCTCTAGCTCTGCTCCTTGGGCGTGTTCCTTCCCCTGTATGGACCTCAGTCTGTTGCTCCATAAAAGGGGAAGATGGCCCTACCCAGAGTCACCTGCCTGCCTCAAGGGTGGCTGGGAGGACTGGATGGTAATTGATGGCCTCTTGGAATAGATGGCACTGAGGATATGGGTGGGGTTCCCTGCAGATGAGTCTAACACCATCCACTTGAAGGTGATTGAGCAGCGGCCTGACCCTCCTGTGGCCCAGGAGTATGATGTGCCTGTCTTTACCAAAGACAAGGAGGATTTCTTCAACTCACAGTGGGACCTCACCACACAACAGGTATGCTAGCCCTCCCTGGCTATCATGACCTGCGGCTGGCCACAGCCCTGGCCTCATCCCACCCCTACTGACCCTGCTCTTCCCTGCCCAGATCCTGCCCTACATTGATGGTTTCCGCCACGTCCAGAAGATCTCAGCCGAGGCAGACGTGGAGCTCAACCTAGTGCGCATCGCCATCCAGAACCTGCTGTGAGTGGGGAACAGTGACACTCAGGACAGGGTCGCCAGTCAGGAAGAGCCCAGGGGCCCTGAGTGTGGGAGCTGGGAAGGCATGGCCCTCAGAAGCTGAGCACAGCTATCTCCCCCAGGTACTACGGCGTTGTGACACTGGTGTCCATCCTCCAGGTAGGTGTGTCTGGGGTCTGATTAAATGGAGAATGGATCATGTGGCTGAGCCCAGTTGGGGCTGTGTCAGACTTCCAAGCCCCTCACTCAGGCCCCTGTGCCTCCTGCTACCCTCCAGTACTCCAATGTGTACTGCCCGACGCCCAAGGTCCAGGATCTAGTAGATGACAAGTCCCTGCAGGAGGCGTGTCTATCCTACGTGACCAAGCAAGGTATTAGCAGGCTCTGGGGGAGGCCATCTCAGGGAGGGCAGGGCCACCTGGAGAGCTGATCCCTGATGCCTACAGGGCACAAAAGGGCCAGTCTCCGGGATGTGTTCCAGCTGTACTGCAGCCTGAGCCCTGGCACTACTGTGAGAGATCTCATTGGCCGCCACCCCCAACAGCTGCAGCACGTTGATGAACGGTCAGAGGGGGATCCCCTGGGGCATGGAAGGTTTGCCTGAGGGCAGGTACACTCTCTGTGTCTCTCCCGAGCCCTGGGTCAGAGAGAAAGCAGGAGATTCCTGATGAGCAGAATCATGTGGCACTGCTACTCCAGGAAGGCTTCCTGGAGGTGATGGGTTTGAAGTCCAGTCTGGTCACTGAAACAAAACTGGAGGGGAGACTGGCCTGGCTAGAAGGAGGCCTGGCCAGAGCATCACCCCTTTCTTCCTCAACCCTCACCCCAGGAAGCTGATCCAGTTCGGGCTTATGAAGAACCTCATCCGGCGACTACAGAAGTATCCCGTGCGGGTGTCTCGGGAGGAGCGGAGCCACCCTGCCAGGCTTTACACAGGCTGCCACAGTTACGATGAGATCTGCTGCAAGACAGGTAGAGGCAGGCAGGACCACTGAGGTGGGGTCAGGGCAGGGTGGCCAGGCCAAGGCTTCTGACCTCACCTCCACCACACCACCCAGGCATGAGCTACCAAGAGCTGGATGAACGGCTGGAAAATGACCCCAACATCATCGTCTGCTGGAAGTGAGGCTGGTGGCGGCTGGACCAGGCACACAGCTATGGCTATTCTCTCCTCCTAAGCCTTGCCTGGTGCATGAGGACTAGACCTACAAACTAGTCCATACTGTCTCAAAGTTAACCCTCATTTCTATAAATAAAGTCATCCATTTCAACCTACCTTTATTGAATACTGCCTCTGAGTCAGCCACCAGAGAGAACTTGCAGTGAAAGAAATAGCCATGGTCCGACGCCCTGGAGCACCATCTGGTGGCCAGAACCAACAATGGGCATGTAAAAGTGCCTGCTAATTATAAACTGAAATAAATAGCCAGAAAGAATCAATGGGGAAGCTGAGATGAAAAGTGAGTTGGGATGGGAGCTGAGGCTGCTCTGCATCAGATTCTCAAGGAAGGCCTAGCTGAACTGACTTAAATTGAACTCTGAAGGAGGAAGAGTATTCCAGACAGAGGTAACAGGCGCAAAAGCCCTGAAGCAAAAGCCGCTTTAGGATGTATGAGGAAGCCAAGGGAAGCCCATGGGGCTGGAACATATTGTAGAAGACAAGGGGGAGAGGGGGAAGAAATGAAGTCCCGAGGTAGGAGAGGGGACAAGAGCCTGATTCTGCAGAGTTGCTGGTAAGCTGCTTTGGACATAGTATTTTGAGGGCCAGAGGCAGCCAGATTCACACTCATGTGAGGAAGTAATGTCTCATATACACCTTTAAAAGACTCCTGGTGGGAATTCCCTGGCAGTCCAATGGTTAGGACTTAGGGCTCTCACTGCCGAGGGCCGAGGTTCAATCCCTGGTCGGGGAGCTAATATCCTACATGCCACGCGGCGTGGCCAAAAAAAAAAAGACTCCTGGCTACTCAGGAAGGTCAAGGGTGGAAATGGGTCCAGTAAAAAGACCACAGTAGTTACCTCATGAGAGGTGATGGCAGCCTGGCCTAGGATGGAGAGAAGCTGTGAGCCCTGCGCAGTATTTCGGGTGTAGAGCCAACAAGGTGGAGCTGCGCGCGAGGAATACTGGAGCGAGGAGGCCACGGAGAGGAGCATCCGTGTGGGCGGAGAGGGAGCAGCTACAGGGAGAGCTGGTGGGGGGCGGGCCGACTTGACGTCCATCCGAGGAGGAAGCTAGAACGCAAGAGTCTGTAACTCAGGGAGACCCGTGAGCCGCAGCCAGTTGTGAGGGAGAAAGCTCCAGGAATCTAAGGAGGGTTGCTACCCGTAGCCTGGCAAGCAGGCAGACGCTGGCGTGACGGGACCCAGCGCGGGCCGCCAGCAGGGGCGGGACCCAGGCCGCAATGCGCAGGCGTTGAGCTAACCGTTTCCATGGCGGCGAGGACTCACGCTCCGCAACCGCTCTACAACCGTAGGGCCCCAGACTTCGGCCCCGCAGGAGACCGTGGTCCCCAAGCGTGTCAGCATCCACATCTCAGCGCAGGCCGCTGCTCGCGGTCAGCCGAACCCCACCTTCCCGCTTCCGGTCCCTTGCGCCGACATGGGCGACCTGGAGTTGCTGCTGCCCGGGGAGGCTGACGTGCTAGTGCGGGGACTGCGCAGCTTCCAGCTGCGCGAGATGGGCTCCGGAGGGTGAGGCAGCTGGATCCGGGGTCAGGTGGAGTCATGGGGTCAGAGTCCTTGAGTGGAGGAGTGTGGGCCTGACATTGGGGGGAAGGGTTGCCCGGCGTGGAGGGGCCCCTCGGTGGGGAGGTAAAGCTCTCCGAGACAGGGTTATATGGTCCTGAGCCACCTTGGACCCCGGTTAGGCTTCAGTAGGACCCAGCCCCCACACCCACTCCTACTGCACACATGTGCACCCACATGCACACACCCTGTCTGGGCAGGTGGAACCAGCAGCACGAGAACCTCGAGAAGCTGAACATGCAGGCTATCCTTGATGCCACGGCCAGCCAGGGCGAGCCCATCCAGGAGCTGCTGGTCACCCATGGGAAGGTAGGTTGGAGTCACAGGCAGGGTTCCTGTCTTCTCACCACCCCCCATCCCCACCAGTCTACCCCTCAGGAACACCCTGGGTGCCTGCACTTCCCTCTGGCTGGCACCCCTGTCCTCCCCAAAGGAAAAGGAAAAGTGTGTTACACATTTGATTTTGCAGCCCTATGGGACAGGACCCTGGCATGCCAGGTGGGGTGTAGGATGTGAGTTGATCAGGGAGATAATCCTGGATCCTAGAACAGCCTAGGCTGTAGGGGGAGGGCCCAAGTTCTAAAGGCATTCCTGAATAGACTGTCGGGCTAGAGGGGGGCACCCACTAAAGTGGGGTGGGACTTTGGCATAGAAGAAGGCAACCTTCCCAACATGAGAGAGAGGGAGTTAGAAACCAGGGATTGGCTTAACTGGAATGTGAGCCAGGAGGTGGCACCAGTAGATGACCTGAAATATCACTTGACAGAAAGATTCCTCTGCAAGGAAAAGGTGGAGCCCCCTACTGGGGTATGAGGTAGGAATAGGGCACTGTGAAGGGCCCTGAATAAGAGTGAGGCCAAGGGCTTCCCTGGTGGCGCAGTGGTTGAGAGTCCGCCTGCTGATGCAGGGGACACGGGTTCGTGCCCCGGTTCGGGAAGATCCCACATGCCGCGGAGCGGCTAGGCCCGTGAGCCATGGCCTTTGAGCCTGCGCCTCCAGAGCCTGTGCTCTGCAACGGGAGAGGCCACAACAGTGAGAGGCCCGCGAACCGCAAAAAAAAAAAAAAAAAAATGAGTGAAAGGACAGGGACGAGAGAGGGAATGAGCAGGAGGCTGGTCTGAGAGGTACACTTGAATCGGGGAGGACCTGACAAGGGCTCAGGTGGAGGGGGAGCATGGCAGCCTGGGGACAAGGCAAGGGCCAGTAATAGGAAGCCTGGGGAGTGCCCCCACAGAGATGTCGGGGGGCAGCTGGAAATGAAGGTCTAAGCTGCAAATGAAGGTCTAAGGTGCAGAGAGATCGGGAAGGAATTCATGGAGCAGAGGGAGAGTCTGGAGCCCAGGGGAGTTTGAGGAGGGCTGGGCTGGGCTGAGCCAGAGTATGGGAGGGTTGCCAGCCTAAGTAGGCCCACCTCATCCCTGTCCTTCCCCTCCCCTTCAAAGATCCCGACGCTGGTGGTGGAGCTGATTGCAGTGGAGATGTGGAAGCAGAAGGTGTTCCCTGTGCTGTGCAGGCTGGAAGACTTCAAGCCCCCAAACACTTTTCCCATTTACATGGTGGTGAGCCATCAGTTCATACCCCTTCCCACCCCTTCAGAGGGCCCTGGACTAGAGAGAGTAGCTGGTAGCCCCTATCCCTCTCTCAGCAGCCCTGTCCTCCTCTTTATCAGTTACACCATGAGGCCTCCATCATCAACCTCCTGGAGACAGTATTCTTCCACAAGGTGAGGCACCAGCCCTGCCCATTGGCTAGGCTAGGCCGGGGCCTGGCAGCAAGGGGGGTTGTGTCTGTTTGGGAAGGGCATCAGAGGCAGAATGTTTCCCCTCCACCTGCCCCTCAGGAGGTGTGTGAGTCAGCAGAGGACACCATCTTGGACCTGGTGGACTACTGCCACCGCAAACTGACTCTGTTGGTCGCCCAGAGTGGCCATGGTGGCCCCCCTGAGGAGGAGGAGTCCCAGTATGGCACCCCCATGCAGGTGGGCTGAGGTTTCCGGGGGTTGGCAAGGGCTAGACCCAGGCTCCCCTAGCTTGAACACCATGTGCCCCACCCCAGGAGCTGCAGAAGCAGGCAGAGCTGATGGAATTTGAGATCGCACTGAAGGCCCTCTCAGTGCTGCGCTACATCACAGACTGTGTGGACAGGTGGGCTGTCCTGCTAAGCTGGGGCCTGCAGTGGAGGGCTGGTAGTCTGGGCCTGTAGCCTCAGCTCACCTCTCCATCCACGTCCCTAGCCTTTCCCTGAGCACCTTGAGCCGCATGCTCAGCACCCACAATCTGCCCTGTCTCCTGGTGGAACTGCTGGAGCACAGTCCCTGGAGCCGGCAGGAAGGCGGTAAGGTCCTCCTCCACCTGCCTAAGCCCCAGTTCACTGCTTCCAGGACATCCTCCAGGATTGATGGGGTGGGCAGCTTGCACACAGGCAGAAAACTTTGCCCCCTTGACCACAGAGAATACCAGGATGCCTCACCCAAAGTGGGCCTAGACCTGGACTCTGCAGCAGGCAGGGCCTGTGTGTCTACCACTGAGGACTCACCCTGCTCTGAAGTGAGCAGAGCCCCAGCATGGGCACATCCTGTGCCCAGACAGTGGTCAGTCCCTAGCCCGCACAGCTGGCTCACTCACAGAGCATGCAACGCCTGCACACAGTATGCTGGTTCCTCTCCCCAGGCAAGCTGCAGCAATTTGAGAGCGGCCGTTGGCAGACAGTGTCCCCTTCAGAGCAGCAAAAGCTGAGCAAGTTGGATGGGCAGGTGTGGATCGCCCTGTACAATCTGCTGCTAAGCCCTGAGGCCCGGGCCCGCTACTGCCTCACAAGCTTTGCCAAAGGACAGCTACTCAAGGTAGGGAATTCCTCCCACACCAGTCACCACCGCCCCAGCACTGCCCCATGCCTCCCTTGATCTTTATTTTTGCCCACTCACCTCAGCCCCAGCCCTGTCTCCACACCTTGGGCCTCAGGTGACACAGCAGCTAGTAGGACATGGGTCCCACTGGCACCCTCAGCTCAGCCCAGCTCAGGCCCTCTTTGTTCCTCGACCCCCTGACCGGCACCGCTTCACACTGGCCTCCCCTGGATACCCTTGCAGCTTCGGGCCTTCCTCACAGACACACTGCTCGACCAGCTGCCCAACCTGGCAGACCTGCAGGGTTTCCTGGCCCACCTGGCCTTGACCGAAGCCCAGCCCCCTAAGAAGGACCTGGTGTTGGAACAGGTAGGCACTAGGAAGTTAGTTGTTCAGGACCACTGCCCACTTTACCAGCTCCTCCCTGCCACTCTCCACTTCTCTTCCCCAGATCCCAGAAATCTGGGAGCGGCTAGAGCGAGAGAACAGAGGCAAGTGGCAGGCTATTGCCAAGCATCAGCTGCGGCATGTATTCAGCCCCTCGGAGCAGGAACTGAGGCTGCAGGCACGAAGGTGAGGCCTGCTGAGCTGGCAGAAAGGGTAGAAGGGAGGCAGAAGACATGGATGTGGGTAGGGCCGCTCCCGTCCACCCACCCACCAGGTCCAGCCAAGTCCTCCTGACCCT